TGGTTGGCGTGACAATTGCTTGGCTCTAATTTCTCATTTCCTTTACATGCAACGGGCTGAAGTTGTTCTTGACAATGAAGAATCCATGTGTAAAAATGAAAAATAAAAATAAAAAATTAAAGGTTAGGGAACTTATTTAAAAAAAAAATAAATAAATAAATAAAACCAGTTAAGTAAATTCATAATTTGTTACTAATGCTCATATTTATCGGTGTTGAAAGATCGGTCCCAAAAAGAATTATCCAAGAGTTCGTTCACCTATTCGCACTAGAGCTCTTGCAAGGAAAATGGTTGACGAAGCTAATTTAGAGAAGGTAGCTTTGGAAAATCGTGTGGAAAATATGGAAAATACTTTGAAGGAATTGATGGCTTCCTTTCAATCTCTTCAAGCAACCTTAGTCACAAGGGCACCTTTGACAACAAATCCTTTATTTGAAGGAAATGTTCCGGTGGCAAATTTCCCTATGGCCACATCTACTTTAACTCTTGGGAAGGAGCCTATGTCATCTGGCCCTCCTGATCCAATTATTGGTGGAACTTCTGGGACAAAACCATTTGTTCTAAATGCTGGTGTTGCTACAGTTCAGTCTAATGATCAAGAAGAGATTCCAGTTGTCAGGTCAATCACAGAGGATGAAGACAAGGCAATTAAAGCGAAGGTGCAGTTGATGGAGGAAACACTAAAATCGATGCAAGGTGTCCAAACCAATAAACCGGTTGACATCTCATCTTTGTGCTTTTTCCCAAACATTCAACTGTCCCATAAGTTTAAATTGCCTGAGTTTGATAAGTACAATGGTACTGGTTGCCCTTATGCCCACTTGACAATGTATTGCAGGAAGATGGCTCCTTATGCCAATGATGAGAAGCTAATGATACATTACTTTCAGGACAGTCTGACAGGTCCTGCAAATGCTTGGTTCTCTACTATAGACAAAAGTAAGGTCTAAAGTTGGCATGATTTGACTTACAATTTTATGAAGCAGTATGAATACAATACATCACTAGCTCTTAGTAGAGAGGATCTTCAAAGAACAGAGAAGAAATCGAGTGAAAGCTTTAAGGGATTTGCTCAAAGATGGCGTGAATTGGCTGCTCAAGTTCAACCGCCACTAACTGATCATGAACTGAGTAATTTATTCATTAAATCAACTAAAGGGCCTTATTGTGAAAAGTTGATGACTTGTGTAAATTACACTTTCGCTCAGTTGGTTATTGTGGGAGAACAAGTGGAGGATGGAATCAAGTCTGGAATTATTATGGATTATCAAGCAATGAAGAGTATCCTTGAACAATACCGAAAGGGTAGTTCAGGGGTTTCTAGTTTGAAGAAAGTGGGTCAAAATCAAAACAAGGAGAATGAGAATGGCACTATAAGCTCAGTTTATGAAACATATGGGAGAAATAATCAGCCACGTCCTCGGGGGCAATTCAATAATTCTTTCCAAGCTCCAACTTATCAACCGACAGTTTATTCAAGTCAGCCAAGGCCAATTTATGCCTTTGGTATCAATCATCTGCAACAAAAAATGAGACGACATTTCGACAAGCTTCCTTTGTCATACACTGAAGTGTTTCAACAATTGGTAGCAGCTGGTCTTGTTACTCCCGTACCTATGGTGCCATTAAATCCACCATTTCCAACATGGTATAACCCACAAGCAAGATGTGAATACCATAGTGGAGGTGTTGGACATGACCTTGAAAATTGTCTTGCTTTAAAGCACCGTATCCAAGATCTGATAGATGCAAAGGAGTTACAGATTGCATCAGAACCAAAGGTTGTTGGTCCGAATATCACTAAAAACCCCCTACCAACACATGATAATTCAACAGTCAATATGATCGAGAAGGATTTTGAGGAAGGTCAAGAGGTGGCTGCAATTGCTTTTATCAATCAAGTTTCATCAATTCCTAGACAGCCTTTAATATTGAAGCGACCAACGCTTACAGTTCCACTCAAACAAGGTTGATCTTAGAACTGCTACTGATGAGGGCTTGAATAAGTGAATAATGGAGTTTTTCCCTATTGCTATCATTTTGGAATGAGATGTTAGTCTTTATTTGCATTTTCCAAACTCC